GCCCTGACATGGACTTACTTAAATCCTTTTGCAGCTGTTGATACTTTTCCACTTCCCCTTGTAGTTTTTTCTGGATCAGCTCAGCCATGGTGGGGACGAAAATCTGCGAGGAGCGGGAGTCGATGTGAAACTCTGGAAGGTCCCGAGTTTCCCTGTGGGTCCGGCGGGCGAGCACAACACTCTTGCGAGGCTGCCGCTCAGGGCACCGCAGCCTGGCTCGGCCCGGGGTAAGGGTTCTATCCCAGTCCTCCAAAGGAAGGGCAAAACGAGAAACCGAGCCCCTCAACCGAAAGCCTACCTACTCACGCTGCCCCTTCAGGATTACTCAATTTCTGAGATCTTAAAGTTAAATATAGCATTGTTATCCTATTTGAACTGTTCTCATAATTTGAGTAGAGTGAGATAAACAGGTAGGAAGAATATTGGTTAAGAAATTATTTCAGAAATAGACAGAGAAAAATAATGGTATAAATTTAGGCAAGATCATTTGGCACAAATCAAATACATGCATAACTTAAAGAGCTAGAATATATTAGACTATTGTACTGATATATTGGAAGGAGGAGTGGCATCCACTTCCGTCATAGCTTGCCTCCGGAAACCCTACTAACATGGAGAGAGGATGAAAGGCACCCAAGTGTTGAGGACTCTCCTTCATAGGGTCGCTATGAGTCACCTGCGACTCGATGGCACTTAACAACAACAACAATTGTACTGATTAGTTATGTCAAAGAAGGACTGGCCTAGGGTTGCTTTTCCAAAGCTCTCAAGATATATTCATCACATTTCTTTTTCTGCAACGTGCTCTTCTCCATTTAGCACCCTCCTTCTCTGCTTTGTTCTAACTCCTATGGTGGTTCTCCAAGTGTAATTCTCTTACCAGAATATCAGCAGAAATTTATTAAAGAAGCAAAGTGCTGGGCCCTTTTCCCATAACAGTGAACTAGAAACTCTGGGCAGGGTCCAGATCTGTTTTTCACAACACTTCCAGGTAATTCTGACATACACTGAGGTTTAAGAACCACTATCCCTGAGCTTTCAGGGGATTTTATGGACTTCTGGTAGCATTTACCACTTAGAGGCCTGCACTGATAATGTTTTTCTGATGCAAATGTCTTATTTTTCTATTGAGAATAATGAACTCTTTGAACACTGAGCTTGAAACTCTCTGGTGTTTTCACCATAAAGTCTAGTATTATATATGATGTTTTATAGAAACCATATAAATGTGTCCTGTGTGTTCTAAAAGGTGTGTTTTTTAAAATTAATTTTAATTAAAATGTATAGAGACTTTGCATTCCATTCATTCATTGTTGCACTTTTCTCCCTGCCCACCCCTCTCCCCGCAGTTTGCTCTTCTTTTTGAAAAATAAAAGGAAAATTCTTTCATTGTTATACAATCCCTCCCCCCAAGTCCACTCCACTATGCAGCCTTCATTCTGAACTCCTGTCATGACAAAAATATAAAAGTTGTGTTTTATGGTAAAATCACTTCCTTTTATCTATCCAAGGATTTCACTACCCTCTCTAACTTCCCACACTTGACACCCAGGTACATTTTATTCATTCTTAAATCAATCTCTCAGTTTTTGTTACTAACGTTTAAAATAAATTTTTTGCTTTACACTGGTTTGTTTACAAAGTCAGTATACAGTTTTTCACAGCAGATCTTTCTCATTTCCTTTACCTTTCTCTCCCTCTACCCATCAAATTGTGCGACCCTATGACTACTCCCTACCCAAGTATCATCACCCTCTACTCCTACCTTCCCCACTTTGGATCCTCATACATGTTTTAGTAGTTATCTTTCTATTTCTACAATAATGATCTTATACCGTATTTGTCCTTAAATTATTTTATTTTCCCTCAAAATCTATTTTTAGATGTATGTTAACATAGTAATATGTAATATTATAGCCTTTCATCTTGATCATGTTTCCATGCTACCTACTATATCCCTAGGTTGAACGAATGACCATCGTGCTTAACAATGTGCATTTATAATGGATAATGTAGCATGTTATTTCAGATTTATTATTTCATTTAATCTCTGTAGCAACACTACTAAGTAGAGAGTATTCTGTTAATACTTTTTCCATCTCAAGTTAGTAACTGAGTCTTAGAGTGGTTAAATTACATTTCTGAAAACACAATAGTTAACAACTGAATACTAGAGCCTTTACTTAATTTACTCAATTATCTTGTTGCTTGCCTAACAGCACTGGAGAAAAGAATTTTTATCCTAAATTGTTGTTGTTATGTGCATTTGAGATGACCCTCTTGCATGTATTCAGAGGCTATAAATCTCACAGGAGATTGTTCTTTTTTTTTTTTTCCTGTGGAACAGCACTTAGTGGAGTTGAACAGCTTGTTCTTCAGTTCACACCCCAACTCCCTGTCTACAAGGTCACCAGAGCTCCCTATTCCTAAACTGTTGTATGTCATCCAGTCAGAACTAACTCTTAGTGGATCCTCTAGCTGGTTTTCAGAGGCAGGAAATAGCACAGGAGGACTTGCACATCTTTCTCTCACGGAACAGCTGGTGGATTTGAACTACATGCCTTCAGGTTGGCAGCACAGTTGCCAGAGCTCTCTAAACCTCAATTAGGGCAAGCTAATTCTGAATCTCATTTGTTCCACAATAAAATAATGTTCTTCATCACCCTTCTGGCTGGGGGGAAGTGGGAATCATAAGTAAGGCCTCACAATTTGGTGGTGGGGATGTGTGTGAAGGAAATGGGAAAGATCTGGTATGAAAAACAATGTATTCCAACTTTGTAATAAAGCAGTACAAAATAAAATTTAAAAAATTGCTGTTAAATCAAGTGATCACAGGCAAAGTCACGCGGACTTAGGAGCCTTTGTACTAGAATAGGCTGTATATCAAATGTGTGATAAAACTGATAAAAGTATTTTAGAATAGAACATCCTATTTAAGTTACAATTAATCCAATTATTTAAAATATTTATTTAAAGGGAAATCCTCATATTTTTATTAACATGGAAATCCTTATCTAGAAAGCTGTACTAATCTGCAATTTGCCCACCATGTAGTCTCTACAAAATTCATGATAGTGTAAAAAAGCTGAGGACTGCCAGAAGAAATCTACCCAAGACAGAGATATATAGGAAATTTATTGTGTGTTGCAAAATGGAGAAACGAGGGTCATATGCTATAAAATAGGGAGTATAACATATCATAAATCGGGGGGTAAACTTTCACGTTAGATATTTTCCAAGACAAAAGATATTACATGAGTGTCTTGCACTTGGGTGGAGATTTGGAATGAAATTCAAAGAAGCACTTGAAATGCAATTTAAAACATTAATAGCACTTACATAATGTTTCTAATAAGTTATAATTGGATACTGAATGTATATATTGAGCAACTTACAGTAAATATCAAAGATTGCTTGTTCTGAATATACAGTATTCTCGCCAGATGGTCCATAATACGTCACGGAGCAGGTGAATGGCATTTGTACGTCAGCTTTGGTCGCCTTGTATTCCAGTGATGAACTCATGGTAAAGAGCTGAGTTACTGGGTCCATTTGCTTATTAAAATTTATGTTCACCTCTAAGAAAAATGAAAAACAAAAAAACCCAACAAACAAACACAACACAAAACCCCCAAACAATAGCCCATTAATGATAGAATCTTTCAATGGAAAACAATTCTTAAACATCATAACATCATTGAAAAGTGGTTCTGTCCTTCTAACTATATTTTCTAAGAGGGAAAATTGACATCCTGTATGACAGAATGTCTTTTCAAAAGTATGGATCAGAAGCAAGGACATAAATAGAATCTTAGAATTCCACTTGCCACTCACCTTAATTAATTTCTAGAACATTCCATGTGCAAAAATAATTTTCTCTGTTTTTTATTCTGTGCAAGGGCTAAGATTGTATTTTTTTAAAATCATTTAATTCCAACGTCTATAAAGCATACAGTCAAGAGAGGGCACAGCATTGGATACAAGAGACTTTAGATACTAAGGGACAGCTAGACATGAGAAAGTAAAAACACATCATATGATTTTATTTTCCAATTTATACTTACCTCCTTCAAGGTGTTGCAGCACTTTTCCATTCCTGTACCATGTGAGGTTACCATATGGGTAACTATCCTTTGAAATACAGTCACCCAGCTGCAAAATAAAAATGGAATGCAACTACTTTATTTCAATCAATGGTCATGAATTTGTGCACTACAGACTCCTCAGGGAATTCTGGGTTATCACACAAGTTTCTTGATCCATTGCTTCTGCAAGTTTTGATTAAGGATAGAATGAATAAGGGATCTCTTATATAAGAATAAATGTATACACTTACAAATAAGGCCTTGCACAGGTTTAAATGTATAATCAATCTTGTCACTATTAATAAATCAAATTCATTTAGCAGTATTACCAAGTTATTTTTAACATTTCCAAAAAGGCATAAATGAATTAACATGGACTATTTTTAGGATTCAATACTAGTGCATTGAAGAATAATAGCAGTGCTAAAAATTGGGCTGCCTTTCCAAATTTGATTCTATGTCTTTCATTTTATATAATTTTACAGTCATCTATATTCTCTAGGAAGTTCTGGTAGCTTACTGGGCAAGCAGTTGAGCTTCTAACCCAAAGGCATGTAGTTTGAATCTGCCAGCTACTTCATGGGAGAAAAGAGTGTAATCTCCTCCCATGTGATTTATTGTCGGAGAACTCACTAGAGGGTCACCTATGAGTAGGTTCTATGCCAAAGGTACCTAACAACAACAGCAACAATATAATGCTACTACTTGCTTCAGAAACATTTTAACTTAAATATTACTTGTTGCTGCTAGGTGCCATCATGTGGACTATGACTCACAGAAACCCTATGAACAGTTGATCTGCACCTTGCCCTATCCTGTGCCAATCTAATAATTCTTATATGTTCAAGCCCGTTCTAGTTATGTGTCAATCTCTGTTAATATTTACTGTTATAATACTATGCTGTAACATCTAATATTATATTATTAAATATTTTCTCCCAAAATAAACAAAAATTTGGGTGTTTAAATGAGTGAAAAGAAATTTATTTTAGTCAATTGATATATGTAACATGTTCATATAGACAATTTCTGCCTCCCCTGACCCTTTTGATCCCTCTCTTTATTTTCTTTTTAACCCTCTCTTAATGTGAATTTTCAGTTGTGAACGTCCTACTCTATTAATTCAATATTCCAAACTCCAGCACAGCATCTGAAACTTGTCATGATCTGGCCTTTTTATATTTCCTCAAATTAATATCATCTGTATTTTCTTGACCATCCCCACTGTGTTTACCACAAGAATTTTCAACAAACTTGTAATTCTCACATATTATTTGATGTTTCTGAAAAACCCATGTTGACAATTACCTGGATAAAATCAACTCATCTTTCATGACTCCATTAAACACTCAATTCACTCAAACAAGAAATACTTAAGTTTTTTTTTTTTACTTACTTCTCCCTCTTCTCCCTTCAGGATGAACTCTACTTTCCTGTCTAAGCTGTACCTTGTGAATATTTTCTGAATGGAAACTGAAAAGTACTCATTTTTTTCCAGATGACGTGTATGTAGCCCATTTGTTATGGCATCTGTGGCCACACAAAGACACTTAATAGCAGACTAAGTAAAGGTACTTAAAATAAAACCAAAACCCACAAACAAAACCAACCAAGAAACAACAAAATGGTTCTTACCTGTTTTAGTTGCTCTGTTTCCAGAAATGGTGTTTTGCTTATAATTTCAGGCTTAGAGGGTTGTTCTAAAGTTAAGTAGAAAAAAATTCTAAGAATATATATGGAAGAGGAAGTTGTGAGCAATTCAATCTATAACACAATAATATATTTACCCAAAGCAGAAAAAGAAACAACAAAATAATGAGTAGATTTCTCATATATCCATAATTAATAAATTTGGTCATTCTACCCTTTCTAACTATTCTCTTTATTATTTTAAACATTGATTTCAGGCATATAACTCTTTGAAATTGTGACGCATACTCAATACCTTGTAAGTAGGAAACATAGATTTTATAGTGAAAGAGAAGTTAATTTTATCTCCAATTGATTACCATGTGCACTTTCTACCAACTCATTAGGTAAAAGTTACAATGTTCATGGATTAGAATCACCAGGAAACTTGTTTAAAATAAAGGTTTCTGAGCTCTACTAGGAATATTAAGTTAGAATATCTGGAAAGAAATCTATGATTTGTTTTCCACTTTATTTGCAAATTTTTTTAAGACCTTTCCAAGCACAATGAAGTGTATCACGAATCTAAATATATGGGAACTAGAAATCTATTAATAGATATAGAAGCTCAGGTCCAAAATGTATTATTTAAGTCATGTTAGGAAGCTACAACTATGAAAAATATTTGCTATTTGGAATCTGAGGAAGGGTGGAAAGAAATAAGTTTAATATAAAACATAAGCATAAATTTTAATAGAGACTTCAAAGAAAAAAAATATTAAAAATTGTGGCAGCAGCGTATGACTTAAAATGAACATCAGTTTCTAGTTTTTGTCATCCATAGATTTTACATTTTTTCATTTGTTCCAAAAATGAACGTATAGAAAATGTACACTGGCTCACTGCTATTCATGTTTATAAGCCTCATGGAGCAGATTGTATCTATGCTTATAGAAAGAAATTAAAAACAACCTAAACATCCTATTCTTTGTTTTATAGTCTCATTGCATATCAACTACCTCTAATTTTGCTTATCAAGTAAAGTGGAATTGGCTTCTGCATAATTATTACTCAATTCAATGTTATCTACTGAGCTATTAGTGATAAAGAAAATATCTTTGGATCAACAAAATGAAGACCATCACGACTGAAGAAGAAGAAGAAAAAAAGACAACTTTCTTCAAGTTAACATCTATGATTAGCTTCCCCATCAACAACAATTATGTTTTATGTTAGAAATTAGAATAATGAATAATAACAAATCCATTATGTGATGAATTTGTGCATTTTTAAGTATAAGGGGACCTATCTGCTATTCATTCTAGAAGCACAATTCTTAAAACAATTTTTACAAAGGTGATTTTCTAGTTTCCAAATACATATGCTATAAATAAAATAAAGATAAATAGCTTAAAAATGTATCGCTAAATTGAAATATAGCAAACCACAATAAAATCACCTTTACACAATCAAGAATTGACACTTGATTAACTGGGTTTTAAGAAACGGAAAGACAAAAAAAAAAAAAAAAAGAAATGGAAAGACCAAGCAACAATAGCAAAGGTCAACAGAGCAACAAACAACAAATGCTAGTGAGATGGTGGTGAGATTCGTATTCACTGCTGGTGGGAATGTAAAATGGTACAGCCACAGTGGAAGGCTGCCTGGCACTTTCTTAAAAAGGTGGAAAAAAACCCACCATTTGACCTAGCAATTCCACTACTGGGAATATATCTTAAAAAAACTAGAGCCACAACTCAAATAGATATATGCACACTCAAGCTTATTGCTGTGTTATTCCCCATAGAAAAGAGATGGAAGCAACCCAAGTGTCCAGCAACAAATGAATGGATATAAAAACTAAGGTATATTCACTCAATGGAATAATACACAGCATTGGAAAATGAAGTAATAAAATATTACGCAACATTGGAGAGCCGGATACTGGGTGAAATAACTTAGTCACAAAAGGATAAATACTGTTATAAAATAAGATAGACACTGGGCATTGGTAGAGAATGGGGAAAGAACACTGAATTAAATCAGATGAGGGCAACAAATTTCTGAAAAGAATATATGATTAAACATTATATTTATGACAACAATATGAAGCAAGGGGTGCATTGAGGAAGGGGGAAGAAAATGTACAACAGTGAATAAAAATGAAATTAAAACATTTTAAAAAATGAAAATTAAAGAAAAATTATTAAAGCTGACAAAAGGAACTGAAAACAGAGAATGGTTATTAAGAAACAGATGGTGTGGAGTTAAAGGCTCATATCTATTAATAAAACTCAATATGATCACTGTTATTGCTGTTATGTGTTATGTATCATCACCATTTTATGATAAATCAATAGCCATCATAGCCACTCTGAATTACTGATAAATGGAATACTCTATATAGACTAAATTACAGACTACTATTTTTGGAATAATATTGTTGCTGTTGTTGTTAAGTGCTGTCAAGTCGCAGGCAACTCATAGCAACTCTATGAAGGAGAGTCCTCGACACATAGAATAATATTAAGAAGTATTTATAGAATTCTGTTTACAATTCATGTTTTCAATGAATGGGAATAATTGTATAAAACACAATGTGAATCAAAGATAGTGTGAAACACAATGTATATGAATTTTGTAAGCAAATCAATACAAATTTTTTTTTTAAATCATGCTTTCAAAGCAAATATATCATGTATGTTTGGGATAGGACTGCATCAAATATATTTAGCTTCTCTTTTAGTAGTATCTATGTGCAGAGTAAAAAGAGATATTTGAAAACAATGAAAAAATTGTGCTGTAAATACAAAGGGTTGGTGGGCAATTTTGCCATGCTGTACTCATTTTTAATCTGCTAAAGTCATATATTACAAGAGTTGAGCCCATACTCACTTCTTCTCACCAAACATATGTGATTTTTTAATCAATGTACATAGTTATTAATAACATTACATAGTCTTTGGGTCTTATAAATATTTTCAAAAATTATTTTTTCATATCACAATAAAATAAAATTGCAGAAAAGCTAAAGAAACGTGTTTTGAAAATGTTTAAAGTTCAGTCCTCTAAATTGCAATTCTTATTCTATTTGGACATGGGATTTGGGGTGAGTAAACCTTTACAACCTATATGCAGAACAGATTATCCTGGAGGCTGGACTCTATGAGGAGAAATGTGGGGTCAAGATTGGTGGATGATTTATCAACATTCTGCATTATGCAGATGACACAACCCTGCTTACTGAAACTGAAGAGGACCTGCTGCAGAGGGTCAAGGACTGCAGCCTCCAATATGGATTGAGGCTCAATGTCAAGAAGACAAAGTTTTTCACCACTGGACCTACTGGCAGCATCAGGATGGACAGTGAAGAGATTGAGATTGTTTACAGCTTTAGTTTGCTTGGCTCCACAGTCAACACTCTTGGCACTAGTAGCCAGGAAATTAAAAGGCGCATTGCCATGGGAAAGTCTGCTGTTAGGGACCTCTCCAAAGTACTGAAGAGCAGTGGTGTCTCTCTGGAGACTAATGTGCGTTTGATACAGGCCATGGTCTTCACAATCACTTGTCATGCATCAGAGAGTTGGACAATGAACAAGGAGGATAGAAGGAGAATTGATGCCTTTGAGCTATGGTGCTGGAGAAGAGTACTGAGAATGTCATCGACTGCTAGGAAAACAGATTCGTCCTGGGAAGAGTTAAACCGGGTGGCTCCTTGGAGGCAAGGATTCTGAGGCTTCGTCTAACATACTTTGGACATGTTGTGAGAAGAGACCGGTCCTTGGAGAGGGACATGGGAGGGTGGAGGGACAGCGCAGGAGAGGAAGGCCCTCTATGAGGTGGATTGATTCAGTGACTGGGGTAATCGGGATGGTAGTGTCAGAGACAGTGCAATTGGCACAGGACAGAGCAGAGTTTAGGGCTGTTATACACAGGGTCGCTATGAGTCCCAAGCGACTCGACGACACATAACAACAACAATTTTCTTAAACTATTATTAACTCAAATTTCTGTTTCAAATCCTCTATATTAACTTAGTCTTTTTAAAATTTTTGCTCTTGTATTAAATTTTAATAATAAATGGGTATTATCTGGAGAACCATAAAAAGGACATGTACTATTTTAGCAAAATTGCATATTGATTTTAAAGTGTTTTAAAAAACCTTTATATGAATTATCTTAATATGATTCAAGAATTCATAACCAAATGTAGAATTGAAAAGAAAAGTAATGTTACAAATTCATTTATATTATTAAAGTAATTTGCAAGGACACAGATTTAGACAACTTGCTTCTGAGTATTAATAACTAAGTTTCTCTAAAATCACTTCTATTGAACATTTATCAAGTGGTAGAACCACACCTATTGATTTTTTTCCTTTCATGTTGACATGACTAGTTTAATTGAAGTAGCCAAGTGCTACATTATCATAGAGCCACACTGTAGAAGTTTAAAATTACAGAATATTTTTTTTCACATCTTAACACGTTGTAAGTCTGACTGTATAGGAGAGAGTAAGTTTGAGGACAGGAAACTGACATCCAGATTTCAAATTTTAACAGAGTATAATCTTATGACAGTTATAGCAATAACACACAATAAAACTCACATGACTCTTTCCCTTTTTAAAAACCAAATAGAGATAAGGTTTTTGCCAGCATATTTAAGATCTTGTCATATATAATCACAGGCTACATTTAATATTTGATATAACTTGAAATGTCTCATGAGATAGCAATCTTTTATTTACCACTTTTAGTTTCATATTAGCTGGAAGGAAATTGCAGTAAAGACACAGAGAGTTATCAGGAAGAAATACATTAAAATAGGTATCTCTTTAGCATTATCACCCAGGCTAGTGAATACTATTATCATTAGCTTTTGGAGAGACTAGAAACCAGCAACTTCCCTAAGTCTAAATCTATAAATGTTCTGGCACCTAGTTCACTTTTTCCACTAGGTAAGGATGTAGGAACAAATGTAAAACTGCTTTTCTATCAGGCAGTGTGCTAACATTACTATCAGAAACCAAACAGGTCAGCTCAATTTGAAATGGGAAGATAACAATGTAAGGTAGATGTTTCAGTGATTTTGATTGAAAAGTACTTCTCTCTGCACTTTGTGAGCATAATCCCTCATAAATCTTAAGATACTTTAAAGAAAACATTATTTGTGTAATCATGGCGTATTTCCCTTATGACATGGGAAATGGGCCTTAAATAAGATTCCACAGTGAAGATCTTATTGGCAAAATATGAAGCTCTGCTTCTCCATCCTGCTCCCTTGGAAAAGAGAACCCGTATCATTTATAGATGCAAGTTGAAGAACTCTGACAGGGTTATGGTAGGAGGGATGCTCCTTTCTGATTAAAAATTTTGTATCAAAATGAAAGATATCTAAAGCAAACACCGCCCCATCACCATGAGAAGCACAGACTATATGTACATGTGTTGTCTTCATTAGCTCTTGAAAAAGACCCTAATAACACGGAGAGAATACCCCCACTTAGATCAAAGTACTCTTTTTTATCTTGTTTCAGGCTGCTGGAGTGACTTGTCCAAGGTCAGAACACAGCAGGAGATTTAAAAGTGCTATGTGTCCTGAGGACCAGCTCAGTGAGTTTTCCATTACACCACAGCCGGCCCTCCGGCCCTCCGGGTCTCTGGTCCTCCAGGGCACCCATCTCGCCTCCAGGCCTTTTGCAGAAGCACTGCAGTGAATCTCTGGGAACTTTAAAAGGTCTTTTCTCACTTATGAATCATTTTATTTGCCTTGACTGTACGTTAAACACAATTAATGATCGATTTTGATGCCATTCAATTAAAAAAATTAAAAAACCAAAACCAAAAACCAACACCATGACTGGAGACAAAGTGGCACTTCTTTATATTTGGGCTGCTTTATGGGTATGCTTTCTTGTTTCAGAGATACTGCTTAACACTAAACAAACAAATCTGCATCACAGGTAACAGAGTACTCAGTTATGGCTTCTAGTTTAAATAAAAACAGTTTGACTTTGCTTATGAGGATGGTCCTATGCAGCAGTCTGTTCTGTGATTGGCCTGTATGAGCCATCTTGTTCTGCGGGAGGCGGTGCATGTTGCTAGGTGATTCACCAGAAGGAAACAGAGACCTGATTGATGAACCCAGCAACTGTTAAGTGACTGCAATATATACATGCAGAGAAGAAAAGTCTCCCTGTCACAGCTGCTGTTGGCTTTACAAAAATGACCTAAAGCAAATTCATTATTTTTATAACGGCAAAGCCCCTATATGCTCTTGCAAACACGGTCTTTATCAGGAGCTATGCTGTTCATTTTATTAAACTTGGAGGGTCTCACGATTTCTAGTATAAAACACTATTTTTCGAGAATGTGTAACTTGTCTATTTAAATTCCCCCTGGCTTAGAGCCTGGAATGCAAATTCCGTTTCTGAGAATCACTTTGTTTTCAGCATTCAAAAGAGAAGTGGATAGGGGGTGTGGGCGGTATGCGGGTGTGAGTTTGTTTTCGCACTCATAGAAATTCTCTGTACTCCAAAACAGCTTGCAAATTGTATTGAATTAGACCAACCGAAATTTTCCTTATCAGATTGTCACATGGCTGTTTTTAAAAAGAATATTTCCAAAACTCTCTAAAGAGATTCTTGCAAATAGAACAACTGGAATATTCTTAATATCCATGGATTCTATCTTCTTTAATTTTTTTATATTCTGTAATATTCATTGGAAAAAAGAAATCTGCCAATGTCAATATAATCATTAGAGTCACTAATAGAATTTTTTCTTACTGTGGTTCACTCTTGATGCTTGACTGTATTTAGGACATAATGGTCTATAATGAAAATATATTTTTGACTGCTCTTTTATTAGTCAGACTGTCCTTAGCAATGCATCATTATTCTTCCTAAAAACACCAAAATGAACTAAAAGGAAAAGCATATTGACCATGGACAAATACATGATGCATGATTTCTGGGGGGGGGGGTGTTGAATGATGATGGTATGACTGAAGGAGGTTCTTATTTCAATTCATAAGATGCTTGAGAAATGGATAGTTTTTGGAAACAGCCTTCTGAACTGAAAGGTAATCAAATGAAACATGTAATATGCTTTCACAAGGTTCTTCTGGAGAACAAAGGTTTCCTTTGATAGTATAAGTGCTCTTTGAATCTGTGTCATAGACCCATAGGAGCTTTGAAGTCCATATAAATACTTAAGGGGCAGTCCTACTTAGCTGCATGAGTTATTACAAGAGAAACTGGCTTAATCCGCTGTTACCTGCTGAAATTGGAAGGCCCTTTGGGTTTCTTTCTTTTCTATTTATTTTAATAACTTGGAGTTGCTGTCAAGTTATCAGAAAGCAGAAGGAAGTTGAAAGTGAGAACTTCTTCGTAATTAAAAAAGACAGACACCCTAAAAAAACTTTTGGGATCTATTTTTTCTCCTATAATTTCTAAAATTTCACGATGTAACTAAATGGGACTTTTTAAATTTTAATTTTAAAAGATAAAACACTGTAATTAGACCTTCTCAAATCATTCATTTGCATAGCTATTTGCACAGTAACGTGAACTATATATTATCATTAGGCAAAGTAACTTTCCCATAATGACTGCAGTAATTACTCCAAATTTTCTCTACAACTTTCTAATTTTTTTTACCCTAAAGATATAAGAATTTCATTACTTTAGGACAATGTTTTAAATAAAATACTTTAAAGAAAGAAATTTAAAAAAACATCGGAAGTGAGAAAGTAATTATATAAGCACTTAGTTTTAAATGGACATCCATCAGTTTAAGATTAAGTATCTACTTATACTTTGAATTTGTCTATTGTGGTTGTTTTTACATAGTAAAAATGTTAACTTCATATGATACACCGATAAACTATGTACCTAAGTATGTATTCTAGAACATACACATTAATGTCAGTGAAACTTTAGAGACTATGAGTTAGTCATAATTTAGAAGTACTCGTTTCTTGAGATACTTTATGTGACCAAACAGAAACTATTTTTTTAACTCGTCAGTGCACATCTCCTATTTAAATTCCGGGCTTTTTGTTTTCCTAGCTGACAGAATGCATGAGCAGAATGAAGATTTTATAAGAGGTCCTCTAACATAGATGCCGGCTGTGGAGCCGCTACAGAGCTCAGTCTTCTTTTTAAAGAACATTTTCTAGTACCAGCCATCAATCCCACTTATACTGTAGACTACTTACTGAACACCTTGACTACTGTAGGTGCCTCAAACAAGTTGTCCTCAGCTACTAACATGCACACAAATCTCTTTTCATCACTGATTCTTGCATTACTTATAGATAATGTGTAGTTTTCGGAGAGGCTCAATCGATCTTTGTATTCTGGTACATCGTCATAGTGCACACTCTTCTTGGCTGAGGATCGGAAGGCAATAAATACTGGGGAGCCATCGGACTTTTCCTAAAAAATTAAAATAATAATACATTTAAAAATAATACATTTAAAATACATATATTCAAATGTTTCCAGTTTATAGAAAAATGACATTTCCTTGGCCATATACGTCTACTGATTTTTGTACTTTTTTGTCCAAGAATAATTTTGCATATGAACTTCACATAGAATGCTGGTTATAGGAAATTACTTCTCTTGAGAAGAGAAGCTATCAGTTCTTTTATAGGTATTGGCATAAATGTGTGAAAGGTAAAGACAGAGCCATTGAGACCTGCACTTTTCTGGCATGTGGAGGACACAATTAGTGACTCCTGGAATGAATAAGAATTGGTCTCATGTTTAATATATATCAAAAAAGATAAAAACATATGGAAAAATGTACAAAATTATATGTGCACAGCCATTAGGGCGCAGCATAGTTTTGAGCTACAAATGTCTTTAAACCACAGACATTAAATATTCATATCTTGATGCTATAAGTGACTACTTTTACATATAACATAGTTTAATGAGTATTCACATAAAAGCAGTATAAGTCCTTGTAAAACAACTACATCCACTAAACAATGGATCCCAATTAATCACTAAAATCCATAGTTGAGCTATCTTATATATGAAACTTGGCACAAAAGCTTGCATAGAAAAGTTTATTATCAGAAGGGAATATAATTTGCATATACAATTATGTCAAGAGCAATAACCCATATAAGGCTTTTCTTTGTTGGCTCCCACAAAAATTCTAATAATCAAATTAATCTAAAATAATTAATAAGTTCTCAACTTACCTGACAAAGCCTTTGAGACAATAGAGTATGAGATATCACAGTATCGTCCATTGCAAATTTTAGGATACTTTGAAAGTTTAAGTTTTAAAAACAACATGAATATTGATCAGAAATTAATCTTGAAGAGTCCAAAAGTTTTAGTTGGGTGAATATCTAAATATTTCCATTTCATACCCATTCGAACCTTCCATTTTATCCTAAGTTTATGACACAAATCTTTCTCTTAAATCATTCCTTCATTAGGAGACAGGTTAAATTTTAGTATTCTGTCACTTAAGAAAAAAAAAATTGGGGGCACTTATTCACTTATCTAACAGCAATCATTTGTCAATTGTCATACTTTTGCTTTGAGCTTTTTATGCATTAAATGGAGATAGAGTTTGGGTAAATAACTGCACAAGATATTTGAGAGAGGATTAGGGTTTGAGCTCCCCAGACTGGCTCCACTATAATTACACTAAACTGCTCTTGATAGCTTCCATCTCTGCTGTACCAGGCACTATGGCAGAGGATGGTGAGTGGGAGACAAGTGTGGGCTTGGGAGGTCTGCCCTAGGGAGCTTGATTTCCATTCACAGTGAACCTGCAGTTTGACAATGCAGAAGCTGCTCCATCTACCCCTTTGTTTTTTCCAAGCCTTCCATTTGAATTTCAAGAGGTTATACAGAATGAGAGAATTTCTGCAAATCAAGGTTGCTTTTAGAGTACATTGTTATGAAGCATTTGCCTAACTGACAATTTGAAAATTTTCTTATTGTTTGGTTTCCAAAAGTACTGTGTCGCTTCAGTTTCGGTAAAAATTACTCTCCTGGTTGTAATGAGAATTTTCTATGATGACCAAGATTTACAATTTATTTGAAATTCACCTGCATTCAGTTTCTTTTGGCAGCAAGTTTGGTCCAGCAGGTAAATTACAAGACAGTTTCTTAGCTGGAATCTTGCAGATTCTAGCTGGCACACTAGCTTCAAACATTCTTAACTTCAAACTTTCTTAACAAGAAAGAATACACATTTACTCAGTTTAAACTAGCTAATTGGAGGAGAGTGCAGAGAAATAGTATGCAGTTTCTTCTCCTTCCTTTCCTTTCCCTTTATATGGATACTTATACAAACATTAAATCTTATGATTTCTAAGTCCTAGAGTTGTAGCAGCTTACATTTTTCAAACAATTACCACATGGCAAGCACTAGGTAAGCCTTTTCATAAGAATCGCTTTTTATACCCTTCTCAACAACACCATGAGAGTGATGTTATTATCCTCATTTTGAAGAAGAGAAACTGGAGATTGATTCACTGGGCCAGATTCTCACAGTGAAAATGGTGAAACCTGTTGGTCGGACTTGACAACATGTTTTGAAAGTCACTGTTCCACCTTAAGCACATTTTCCCAAGTGTGTTCTGAAGAATATTTACTCTTGGAGATATCTGAAGAAATAGTTTGCGTAATCAAGGACACTTAAGAAATTATTTAACCTGTGGCCCTCAGACAACTCTTAGTGTACTTAAACCTTTGAAAGCCTTAGCTATCTTGCAATAAAGAAACTTTTCAAAAATTATTTGACTATCAGAATCTTTTCTATGCAAATGCCTCTGAGCACTTTAAAGAGCTAAGGAAAGCTTGTTCTGTTCTAAATGAGATCAGTAACAGCTATTGTGTTCAAGGAAATATATTTCTACTTTAGCTGCCAATATACCATGGATCTCATGTGGTCTGGCATTATGAAACTGTGCCACAGAGATATCTTTCATTGGTTTTGGTAATTGAAAGGAGATGTTGTATTAGTCCTGGTTACCTAACTCTTCCACAACCAATTACAAAGATATTTATTTACCTTCCATTCCCAGAACCATTTGTACCTCCACAACTGAGAAAATGTTTCTATCTACAAGTAAAAGATAAACTCAACAATATAAAAATGTGAAAACAGACCTACCACATCAACAACATAGTTCTAAGGAAAAACAAACAAGAAAATATGAATAGTTTCACAATATTCACAGGTGTATAGGTACTTTGTTGTTGTTACATACCAAAGTCAAAACTGACTCACGGCTACCCACTAATAGGTTTTCAGAAGCTGTAAATCACCTAGGAGGAGAATGCCCATCTTTTTTTAGTGGTAGATTTGAACCATGTGCCTTTGGGTTGGTAGCACAACTCCTTATCACTAAGTCACCAGAGTCTCCAATGAAGGTACTTTTTTATCTTATCCTTCAATAGCCACAAATGCAAAGACCAGCATGTGGAAAGTCATCTTCCACTAAATTCTGCCCTATTGTCTACTAATTCCGGGCTGGACCTTGGATATCTCTCTGCCTTTAACATTTAACAGTAAAGCATAAATGAATATGACCTGAGAATTACATGCTTATTGAGTTAAGTCAAATATAGCCTTTTAAACTAAGATTTAGGAATGATTCCCTTGGAATACATAAGAGATTAATTCTACATGTCTACTTTTGTTCTTGCCATCACATTTTGCCAGTATGCTAATTTGAAAGTTGGAGGGGAAAAAAATTGTATTTCAAAATAATAGAAGCAATTAACCAAAGTCAAGGTCAGGTGAACTTACATATTTCCATTTTCCAAACATGAGATTCTGAGGTATGTCATGTCCACAAGGCATGGTAATGGTATCTCCATAGGCGGAATTTACTGTATATAGTCCAAGACCTTTAGAAACAAAGGAAAAGAGGGGGATAAAATTCTAAGTGTTTTCCTCAAGTAGCAAAACCATTTACACAGTCTTTTTTAATAACAACAACATATATATATTAGTTTATTTAAAAAATTGAATAAATTGTTTTTTCAGACCCAATTCTTCCAATTTCTCTTACCCTCCAACAATTTGTACAACCCCATGATTTAAAAAAATGATTAAAGCGTGTATTTACAGTCTTTTAAAATTTGAAAGTTTTATGACATATTTTCAAGAAAATCTCTAGCATTAATAGAATTTTAAAATCTAGCAAAACCATATCTGAATTTAAGTTTAAAAGAGTAAAGGGAAAAAAGGAGCAAAAAGATGATTACTTGTTGGTAGTATAAGTTCAATTAGATTTTTAAAAATGAAATAATGTTTACATTTCTGGTATGAAAATTCTACATAAAGAAGTGTTTATGAAATTATCCCACTCTACACTCTGAAGACACTCTAACCTAAATCACACTTTTCTATCAAAGCATAGAACATTTGTTGACTGTAGTTGCCCTTTTGTTAGAAAAAACACAAACAGAATATATCTAAATTAAGACAAAAATTCTTGCATGTAGCATACTTTTCTAATAATTGTGTCATGATATTTAACCAAGTTAGGCATTTAACTTGCTAAAAGTACTTTAAAACATCTCAAGTTTTTACACTTTATTTTGCTTAAATTATCTATAACATGTAATACTATACTAAAATTCTCTATCTCAAAATAAGTAAATACAGAATGTGAAGGAACTGATTTTAAACTTAGGACATTTTGCCCACCAGGTGGTGCTACAGTGCAAAGCTAAGGGACCATGCAGTCATAAATGAGACCATCTTTGACTTCCTGAAGAAACAGGATAGCATGGATACCAGCTCTCACTGTTGTCTATCAGGCACAAAATGTGCAAAAATTTTTATATATGATTAAAAGTACTTTTAAAAGATAATACAGTCTTATTTTACAATTCTGTCAATGGAGGAGAGTTTTTCTCTTTTAAGCAGGCATAACCAGTTTTCTGCATTTTTAATAGTAGTGAAATTTACCACACAATGTAAGTCAAGAAAATGTGATTCTCATTTATTCTTTGAAAAAAAGACCAACAATGGTCTTTATATACTCAAGTGCTACAATAAAATATAGTTCATTAATATTTACTCTTTGGTACTATCTACAAGAAGACATCAAACCCTTTTAGATATAAACGATAAAACAATAAATACCGGAATGACCTCTTCGTGTGGTTGCAAACATGCTGACTACTCACAATTGATAACATGCTGTATTTTACAGTTTACCACTTGTTTTCTTCAGTATTTTGGCTACTAATTGTGGCATTTCTACCATGTAATACACATTTCTAGGTCTGCCAAAACAAATTATTTTGTGATTTAATATTCTATTTTTTTTCATCAGTTTAAACCAAAGTATTAGAATATGTAAATAAAGCTAAAACTATCAGTTATTATAGCAGGAAATGAATCATCACTATTTGGATCCTTACTGTGTAAGTAAGTACACTTTCCCTAAACAACTGAGTATCCATTTGTTTACTTTTACGGTGGTTTGGGTGACACATTACAAAGATAGTTGGTTTTCCAGCAACCATTCATACATATTTTACTTTAGAACATTCATTACAGTATCTACAATGCAATCACACTTTTCTCACCTCCTTCCAAGGATCATTTCTATTAATCCTTATAGCCTAGCTCTTTCTTCCTTCAGGGCTGTGTGTCCTTGGGCAAATGCTGTCCATTTGACCTTGTACAGCTGGCTAATCTAACCAGTGAAAGCCTTCTTGGTGTTAGTGTTACTATACACTGTTGTCCGGTGCCTTGAGTTGAGTCCGACTCATACAGAGCTTATCTGTGAACCCTAAATTCTGTCCTAACATTCACCATCCTCATCATCCCCAATACACTTGAGCCCATTCCAGTTGTTGTACCAGTCCTCCTTGTTGAGGGTCTTCCTCTCTTTCAGCGGCCCTCTTCCTATATGAGCATGATATCCTTTTCCAAGGAATAGCCTCTCCTGTTATTGTTGCTGTGTACCCTCAAGTTGGAATCAACCAAAAGCTGACCATCAAGTGGGTTCTCAGAGGCAGAAAACCACATGGCAAAAGAATGCCAATCATTCTGCCGTGGAGCAGCCAGTGGATTAAAGCTGTACACTTTTGCACTGGCAGCACGATTACTACTAAGCCGCCAGAACTCTCTAGCTTCTCTTAGGGTTATCTAATGTTTAACTGGAAGTTGAGCCATGAGGATGGCGGTTGTTTCCATGACAGTTGTTTCCAGGTTCAAAATGTTCTTTTATGATTGACAAAAATATGAAATTTAGTTTATGTAACTAAGATATTAATGAGGTACATCTTTTGCAACACACAGGGAAATGAAAACATAAAAAAAAACCCCAACACCACCCTTCTTAAAAATTTAATGTTTGTTCTTTCTTATAGATTGGATGGTGATCAAATGATCACCAGTAATCCCCAAAAAAGGGAGAGGGGGGAAGAACAAAGTCTAATGTAAACACAGGAGCTCCGTTTCCATGTGGGATATCAAACTGACATCACTGAAAATCAGGAATCAGTTGGTAACACTGAAACATTTGGAAAACTGTCCCACAGGGTTTCCAGAGCAGTACAGAATATCACATTTTTCTCCCATAGAGCAGATGGCGGATTTGAATTTCTGATACTTTAGTTAGCAGCTGAAAGCTTTAACCACTGTGACATCAAGACTCCTTTATCTATGTTCCTGAGTGTGTAGTTTGAAATAGTCCTTGCTTAGTTATCTAGGTTTTTGCCAAAAAACAAATAAAAAGTAAAACCATTTTATAAAAGGTTCATGGTTAGAACCACAGTAGAAATGAAGTAGTATGTATGGTTTTGTGATTTGCGAATGCTACTAGGAATTAATTCTTATAGTCCTCATAATTATCATAAAGTGAAAAGCAGAGAGCTAGTCTTGAGAGTATTTGAGGGTTGGTAGTTTGGCTTCTTTAGTGACAATTTAAAATCCCAATTCAGGAAGGAAATTACAGAGAGGAATCTGAAGAGCTGAACAAGTAGGAGGAAAATTCGATTTGGGGGGCAAAAATGAGGGCAAGAGGAAAATAGCAAGTAAGAAAGACCAACACACATCAACAGAAGTCATGCATCCATAGACAGAGAAGAATAAATAAATGATAACAAGGCAGACCGCAGTCGGGGCTATAATCATAATTGTTTCAGAAATAATTTTCAGATTTGCTAATAATGATCATCATTCTCTTCTTTTGTACATGTATTCGGAACTCTTAGGTCTGTCTGAAACACTAAAGGTTCGGGTCTGTAGAAGAGCTGACACAAGCTGGGGAGAAAGGAACTCCAGGAGAAAGAAACTCCACAGACCACTGTGATCTGGTGATAAATTAGTGTCTGAGTGTCTACAGATGTCTTCATCTTTGATATGAAGTGCCAGTGAGAGCAAATGTACCTGTCAATACAAAGGCTTCTGTTTATACCATTCACAGAAGAAAGAACGTTTTATCTTTGAGTTGCCAATGCTGAATTTAATTTAGCTTACTAGATTTCCATGCAATCTTCACCCTGCAATACTGGTTGGTTAAATATTCATAGTTTTGCAGTCTAGAGACTACTGGGAACTACTGCAAGTCTAGCATGCCTGCATAAATGTCTTTTGGCAAAGAAACTACCAGCTGAATGCAAAAGCGCTCTCTCTCTCTCTCTCTCTTTGTGTGTGTGTATGTGTGTGTGGGCACTTAACCACCAAACATGTTATAAGCAGCATGTGTGTAGATATGTTACACAGCATTCTAATTGTTCTGGAAACATTTAGTACTAAACGGATTCCATTAACAAAAAACCATTGAATAGAACCAACTCACAGGCGACCCTCCCCGTGACATGTAAGAGAATAAACAGCTCTGTCTCGGATAGGGTGAAACCAAGTTGCTCCTTGTAGGCAAAGATTTTGAAGCTCCACCTCACATATTTTGAGCCGGTGGCCAGGAGGGACAGTCCTTGGTGAAGGACATCATACTTGGAGTAGTGGAGGTACACTACAAGAGAGGAAACCCTCGTATAAGATTAACTGACACAGTGACTGGGTAATGGGAGTAGATATGTTAGAGTCAGTGAGTCTGGTTCAGGATAGGGCAGGCTATTGTACACAACGTTGCTATGAGTCGCAGACAACTGATGTCACATAACAACAACAACTGGGTGATCTGAATCTAATCTTTACAAGGAGCTCTGGACTGGCATAAATGGTGACATGCTCAACTATTGATAAGAAGGTTGGCAGGAACCACAAATGAACGGATTGAGAAATTATGGTACATTCACACAATGGAATACTATGCAGCACGCAGGAGCAATGATTTTTGTATATTATTACCTAACTTTGTAGAGACTGGAGGGCAGTGAACTAACTCAGTAACACAAGGATAAATATTGTATAAAACCATTATTGTAGAATGAGTATAAGGCTTTAAGGGGTGGGGCAGACATAGGAATGAGGATGTGCAGGGGAAGGCGGGATTAAGAATGGAGGTGTACAATTTGATGAGGGTGAGGAAGATTGGAAGAATCGGTTCTGGAAAACAATGTATTAGAATTTTGTAAATAAACTAGTATAGTAATTTAAAAAAATTAAAAAAGAAGGTTGGCAGGGATATCTTAAAAATACATCTGATAATTTGCCTCCATGAGGTCATAGGCTGAAAAGTTCTACTCTGCAAATATACTCACATCCTTGTGGTAGTCTCGAGTTATAACTCATGTGGGTGCAAATGAAAACAGTAAACATAAAAACTGTCAAGTAAACTGTTTTCCAGGCCTTTCTTTCACATTAATGTTGGATGGGTTCAAACTGTCAACTGTTAAGACTAATTGCTGTTAGATGCTGTTGAGTTAACTCATGAGTGATCCTATGAACAACAGACCTGAACCCTGTCCTATCCTCATCA